GTTTTCCCAATCTGTATACATTTTTGAATACTTGGAAAAATATTTTTTATCAATTAGAATTATGATCGAATACATACTTATTAAATATATTACTTAAATAATTGTACTGAAATCTCCGCTCCTCCACCACTCTCAGTGAAAGAAGTATCTGGATTTTGCAAACGTCATTGACAAACTCTTCCTGGTTATCAAGGACATCATTTATTGTGGTTTCACTCATCCAGCTATGATCTGCCAATATTTCTACTGGCTCTTGGTCAGAACGGGTTTTATCATCTTCCTGAGGATATGAGAGAATCATCTCTGAGGTTGCCAGTTTGTTGGCAAAGCAGTTGGCAAGCAATTTATTTATGTTGCAACACTAGGCATTATTTTCTGAACACATTCCGTGGGCTTAGAATGGTTGTTTACTACCTAACCTGGTAGAAGAAATGATAATATAACAGTAGTCCTCAGCTCAGCAATGCGATCCATCTGCTAGGATGCATATGCCTGTGTGGCATCCCTGCGACTCAGAGTGGGCAAGCCATGTCTTTTATTATCTTTATATATAAACTACTGTTCATTTCTTATATAATACAGATTGCTATGTAGCTATAGGATAAATACATGTTTAATTCTGTTCCTCAGACCAGATGCTACTGTAGGGTACATGGTAATTACAGTATGTATTTACTTACTTAGCTCAATTACCAGATAATAATCAGAAAGAATATGCAAATCAATAGGCTATTGTAATGTGGTACAGTATGTGCCAAGAAAATCCTGTGTATTTGTGTTTCCCTATAGGTAACCCAAGTACTTCTGTGGTATTGGTACACAGCAAATCATAACCGAAGAATGCACATTTTGTTAAATTTTCCTCCTATCCCATTCTATGGGATTGTTTTACATTTGCTTGTCATAAGGAAGCGTAATAGGATATAGCCCAACTTGATGCAACACATAATACATGAACAATGGAAAGGCAGAGTGCACATCCTAATTCCTGCTCTTTGTTATTCTGGTATTTTGCACTGAACTCTTTGTATTCTCTTTAGACTGTTGATACCCCATGGACAATATGATTAAATTATTGACATATGTTTTTATCTTGCAGTTCTTCTCTGTGGCAGAAAAGTTACAATGGCTGCAAAACGTTTGCCAAAGACAGAATTTAAAATATGCAGCTTGTAGTACTAGTACCTATCATAGCATCATAAAAATGTACAGTTGGACGGGCTCTCAAGAGGTCATCTAGTCTATCCCCCCATGTGTAGACTGGACCAAGTAAACTTAGAACATCCTTGACATGTATTTGTCTAATGTGTTCTTAAAAACATCCAAGGACGGGGATTCCTGGCAACCTATTTAATACTTAACTATCCTTTAATACTTAACTATCCTTATAGTTAGAAAGTTTTTCCTAATAGCTAACCCACATCTATCTTTCTGCAGATTAAGTCAATGACTTCTTGTCCCGTCTTCAGTAGACATGGAGAACCGTTGATCACCATCTGTCTTTAGAACAGCCCTCAACATATTGTAACCATGTTATATAGTGCCCTCTCCACCCCCCATCACAGTGTCTGGAGTGGCTCGTGATCGTGAGTCAGGACAGAAACTCCAAACTGGTTGTATGTTGTATAATTAGATTTCACCAACTCAGTAACAAAAGCACAGTAATGGCCTTACCATACAGTCAAAGACAGTCCCCTTGGGCATTCCAGTTTATCTTGCCACCCAGGCAAGCTAGACAATGTGATAGAATCTCAATAATATTCAGATTACTCCCAGTCCCAAAGAACCAGTCACTTATCCCAGGTCAGTTGTACTCAGATCTCAAACCAAAGACAACACCTGTAGCCAATCCTATAATAAACTAACTAAAGATTTACTAACTAAGAAAAGAAATGAAAGTTATTGACAAGGTTAAAACAGAAAACATACACACACAAATGAGTTACAGACTTAGAGTTAAAGCCCTTTAGAGCTGACTCATGCCAAGCAGCATGGGGATCTCTTGCATATGTTTAGGAATCTTTGCACCTCAGAGTCCAGACAGCATAAAGATCCCAGTTTCTTCTTGTCAGGGATTTTTATCCCCTTCACCCCAGAATCCAAGCAGATGGGATGAGTTAATGTGCAAGCCTATGCTTCCTGGAGGGAGTGAGGAATGCAATCAACCAGATCACTGTCCTTTGATGCTACACAATGCTTCATTTGCCTTTGTTTGACTTGTGTGCAAGTCGAGCACTTTAATTAATGCTTCCTTTCCTGTTTGGTGAGTTACACAATTACAGAGGTTTACAATGCAAGCACTCAATATAACTTTATACCATGGGATACAGATATTATAAGTAGGATTAAAACATGCAGCCTTTTACAAGCATTCCATAAAATCGAAACACATTGTTATAACCCTAATATCTATTATAAGTACACGAACCCACAGGTAAGTCAGACTGGTTTCCAGCTGTGCATTTTTCAGTGTTCAGTTCCCTGGGCCTTGGCATGAGCTGGTACCAGGTGTGCCAATGTCATACCCCCTCTGTCTTCTTTTCTCAAGACTACACATGCCCAGTTTTTTAAACCTCTCCACATATGTCAGGTTTTCTAAACCTTTTATCAGGTTTGCTGCTCTCCTCTTCGTACACATCTTCCCAGAACTGGACACGGTACTCCAGTGGAGGCCTCACCAGTGCCAAGTTGAGCAGAACTATTCTCTCACCTGTCTTACATATGACACCCCAGAATTATATGAGCCTTTTACCAGTTGCATCACCTTGTTTACAATTGTCACCTTGCTAGCTTGCAACAGGTTAGTGACCAGCCTGAGTACTTATTAACAGCCTGATTTGGGCATTTTTATTCACCGTGGGCTGGGTTGTGGAGCCTTTACTCACTTACACAAGTAGTCTCAATGGAGTAAATGGGACTAATCATGCAACTAACCACCCGACAACAGGGAGTAAGGAGTTCACAAGCTAGTCCATTGGGTGGTACCTTACTAAGTGAGTAGTCGGTCCGGTCCCATTTGAATGGAAATGGGATTCTTCACGTAGTAAGGTATTATTTAGTGTGTGAATAGATGTGGCAGAGTTGGACCCAAAACCCTGATCCTCAGCTGATGTAAATCAGTGTAGCTCCATGAAGACGATGGACCTACATCAATTTATGCCATCTGAGGATCAGATGCTAACTCTGTATTTCCAATATGGCCCAATTAACTCCTTTTCTTCAAACCCTATGTGGGAACTGCAGAACTCACAATGCTTACTGGATGGTTTATAAGTTATTAGGCAACACAGAAAGTACTTCCTCTGGTGTGTGAGAGCCAGGAATAGGTCAGCTTGATTGCTTACTTCAGAAGAACATGCTCTGTGCACTCTTGAAGCTGTCACCTGATACATGTAAGAACGCTGTCTTCATCTCTTTTGCTCTTGATGTCACTACACTTGGGCCTTGGACAAGCATGCTGGATTTTGATGTGCCACGGTAAAACAGATTAGTCTCAGTCACTGAATGATGGAGTTTCTTCTAATGTCACTGTAATTACATAGTTCTGCACTCTAATCTAATCACTAGTTAAATCAGTCCTTTATACTATTTGATCAGAGCCTCAGTATTACAAATAACAAACCTCTGAGACTTTGATAGTTTTCAGCAACTATGATGATAATTCAGTCATTGACCATGATGCAATCACTGCAGTTTTGTGTAGGCTTTCTTTAAAAAAATGCAGTAGCATTGCTTTCCATTTTTGTGATGTCATTAAGAGGAATTTTTGTACCTCATGCCTTGGTAGACAAGTAGAAGAGGAACTAGTTTGCAACTACTTTGCTTTCAAACACATTCACTTCTAAGCATACACATATAGGGGCTGATTTCCAAAGGTCTGTGCAAGGGGAGGGCATGCAGCTGGTTTGCCTACAAAATCCTGAACATGTGCATGCAAATCCTGTTGCTACACATGCAAATAGGCTGTTAATACATGCAAGCATGTGATTTACAGATCAAAACAATTGTCTTCGTATCTGAGATTTTGCAGGTGAAGTCAGTGTTACACAGTGGAGGCAGGACCAAAGCACTGCTTGCGGCCCCTCACTTTTGGGGGACCTCAGACAGCCCCAGCAACTCATGACTAGATTGTCTATGCTGAAGAAGGATATCCCCAAAGCAGAAGGTCTCAGGTGGGAAAAGTTAAGCCATGAGTGCCAAGACTGCTGAAAGGCTCTAGAAGGCAATTCATGGTGTGATTTCTTCCTACGCATACCTTGGCACCTTCTCTTGTTTGTGTGCAGGCTTTTGAAAATCTGGCCCTTAATCAATATAATTATATTTAGCATTCTGTTTAATATTTGTTTTGCAGCAGTGCATGCCCAAAGGTCCAGCTGAAATCAGGGCCCATTGTGCTAGATGCTGTGCAAACAGTGAGAGATTCCCTGTCCCAAAGAGCTTACAAAATAGTATTTCTGTACAAGATTTTTCTACTGAGTTATAGCTGAGAAGACAATTTCTCTTTAAAAGAAAAAAACATATTCCAGAATGAGATTAAAGGTGTAAAAGCCCAGGAAAGTTCCACAGTTGTAAAAGGTTACTAAACCATGGGATGATTCTACTCAGATGTGTTTATGAAAATGATAAAATGATATTTTGTGATATGCAAATTGGGATGATATGCTCCTTGGTGGTCACATGGATAACTCAACATGCCTGATGTCTTGATGAAAGTGATGGTATAACATTTGATTACATGAATAGAGGACACTGTGCGAACAGTGGTTTGGAAGAGAACTATGACAAGAAAAGACTTGGGTGTTGAACATAACCTTGTGTTGTATGTTCAATGCTCTCATATAATGAAAGAGAAACAGATGCAGGATTTTTTGTTTCTGTTGTATACAATAAACTTGATAGATCATTGAAACAAATAAACTGAAAAAAGACAACTTGCCTAATACTGAGGGAAATTTTTTATTGTATGCAAAGTAACCCATGTTAATGAATGCCAATTTCATGAAAGTCACACGTTGCTTGTTGCATGATTTTGCTCATATTAATGTATTAGCTTTACAGAGATTGTAAACATAACATAACAGAGTCTTAGAATCAGTAATAGTGCTATCAGTAATATATGTTATTGCTGGTAAAAGTCCATTGTCAAAATGAAACCATTGTGGTCAATGCAAAGGGTATCAATAACAGAACAAGGTGTGAGAGTGCACCTTATCTTAGATTTTAGCTATTATTTTTCAGTATACTCTTGTTTGTTTTCAGCTTTGCATAATTAATTAGAAACTCTAGTTCATGCAGAAGAAGAGGTATGTCCAACTGTTTCTCACAGATGTCAGTTGAAACCAGCTATCACATTAACACCATATGACAGTTACAGTTTCGTAAATCATTCCTTGACCTGGTTTGCTTCTGAATAAGTTTCTGTCAAAAGAAAAATGTTTATCTTAATACATATGCTCCCCAGCCACTTTTATCCATTGACTTCATTGGGAGTTTAGTCTCTTCCCAAAATAATAATAATTTTAAAAAAGAATTTGGTTACATTCTGCATTGTCATTAATAGTGGACATATTTAAAGCCCCAGTTCAGCAAGTTACTTAAGCACATGCTGGATATCGGTAGGTCAACTAACATGGTTAAAATTAAGCATATGCTTAAGTACCTTGCTGAAACAGGGTCAAACTTCCCATTACGCCACAGAGAGGGTGTGAAGAATTACATCTTTCTCAGTATGACTTCCTTCTTTCTATCACACAACCCCATTTTCCTAAAAAAGGAGATTTTTGCTAGTTAAGCAGGAGGCACTTTTATAAAACCTGTTAGATTTCTCCTAAATCTAAAAGTAATTAAAAGTAGTGGGCTTATTAATGAAGAGGTCATTATCTGTCCCCATTGCCTCACTTCTAGTTTAAATAAGAGGTTGGGCTGTGGTGGAGAGCCTAGCATGTCAAAACAGGCAATTTACTGCTTTAGAAAAATACTCCAATTCACATATAAATCTCACATCACATGGTTTAAAGGTGACCTGCGAATGAAGAAGAAAAAAAAATGTATCCCTGGCCTTTTTTGCATCCTCATGGGGTAGAAAGAAAACTGAAAGGCTTGAGAGTTGCGGGGATTTTGTTTTCCTTTGTTTTTCAGAGGGTTTTTTTCTGCTTGTTTTTACCTCAGAAATATCGAGAACATGAATTCTTTGCTTCTCTGGTTTTGCTGGATGATTCCTTTGTCTCTAGAGGAGAAGAGAACTGGAAATTTCACAACAAAAGATTAGAATACTGCAATTGAGAGGTAAACATTCAAATATCATGTCAGCCTCCCCTCTTCCCCTTCCCCCCAAAAAAGTCACAAGATTGTGTTAAAAAACATGAGGTTAAAAATACATTTAAGGTTCTTTTATTTGCCTTTTGGTTTTGATCCTTCATGGTACAGTGGGAAAGGAGTGTCACATTTTCATGCTTTTCTCCACAAGCATGAAAGCTAAAAACTTACTTAAAAAAGAAAAAAGCTGCAATTCTCAAATATTCACATAACTCCAGGAACAGGGGGTTTAAGAATAACTCGAAGTGTCATAGCCCTCACAATATAATCACAAGAGTTGGCAACTCTGTAATTGTGTGTGAGAACTTTGATCTAAATACAGGTTAACCAAAACCAACAAAAAACAAACAAAAAAACACCACAACAAAAGAAAGGGTTTGAAATAGGGCTGTCGATTAATTGTAGTTAACTCATGCAATTAACTCAAAAAAATTAATCATGATTAATTGCAGTTTTAATCGCACTGTTAAACAATAGAATACCAATTGAAATTTATTAAATATTTTGGATGACTTTTTACATTTTCAAATATATTGATTTCAATTACATCACAGAATACAAAGTGTACACTGCTCACTTTATATTAAATTTTTTTTACAAATATTTGCACGGTAAAAATAATAATAAACAAAAGGAACAGTATTTTTCAGTTCACCTCATACAAGTACTCTAGTGCAATCTCTTTATTGTGAAAGTGAAACTTACAAATGTAAATTTTTTTGTTACATAACTGCACTCAAAAAACAAAACAATGCAAAACCTTAGCGCCTACAAGTCCACTCAGTCCTACTTCTCGTTCAGCCAATCATTAAGACAAACAAGTTTGTTTACATTTATGCTGCCCACTTCTTATTTATAATGTCACCAGAAAGTGAGAACAGACATTCACATGGGACTTTTCTAGTCAGCATCGCAAGGTATCTACATGCCTCATATACTAAACGTTCATATGCCCCTTCATGCTTCAGCCACCATTCCAGAGGACATGCTTCCATGCTGATGACGCTTGTTAAAAAAAAATGCGTTAATTAAATTTGTGACTGAACTCCTTGAGGAAGAATAGTATATCTCTTGTTCTGTTTTACTCGCATTCTGCCATATATTTCATGTTATAGCAGTCTCGGATGATGACCCAGCACATGTTGTTCATTTTAAGAACACTCTCGCTGCAGATTTGACAAAACACAAAGAAGGTACCAATGTGAGATTTCTAAAGATAGCAACAGCACTTGACCCTAGGTTTAAGAATCTGAAGTGCCTTCCAAAATCTGAGAAGGATGAGGTGTGGATTCAATCAGAAGTCTTAAAAGAGCAATACTCCGATGCACAAACTACAGAACCCAAACCACCAAAAAAGAAAACCAACCTTCTGTTAGTGGCATCTGACTCAGATGATTAAATGAACATGCGTCAGTCCGCTCTGCTTTGGATTGTTATCGAGCAGAACCCATCATCAGCATGTCCCCTGGAATGGTGGTTGAAGCATCAAGAGACATAGGAATCTTTAGCACATCTGGCATGTAAATATCTTGAGATGCCAGCTACAACAATGCCATGAGAATGCCTGTTCCCGCTTTCAGATGACATTGTGAACAAGAATCAGGCAGCATTATCTCCTGCAAATCTAAACAAACTTGTTTGTCTGAGCGATTTGCTGAACAAGAAAAGGACTGAGTGGACTTGTAGGCTCTAAAGTTTTACATTGTTTTATTTTTGTATGCAGTTATTTTTTGTAAGTTCAACTTTCATGATAAAGAGCTTGCATTACAGTACTTGTATTAGGTGAATTGAAAAATACTATTTCTTTTGTTGTTTACAGTGCAAATATTTGTAATCAAAAATAAATATCAAGTGAGCACTGTACACTTTGTATTGTGTGTTATTATTGAAATCAATATATTTGAAAATGTGGAAAAATCCAAAAATATTTAAATAAATGGTATTCTATTTATGTTTAACAGTGTGATTAATCCCACCATTAATTGCGATTAGTTTTTTTAATCACTTGACAGCCCTAGTTTGAAATAATCTGACCAAAATATCTTTCCATCTCAATTGTTCATGTTTCAGAATCTTGGGGTGCTATAACAGCATTAGTTCTGCAGTCCGACAAACAACCAACAGCAAAAATAAGTCCTCGTATCTCTAAAGTTAAATAAATAGGCATATTCATACTCAATTACCAGATATGAGACATAATCAAAAGATTTTGGCGAACAGGTTAGACAGGTCACAGCAGATACAATATTATTACAAAGGCAGAAGACTTTTATTGAATTTAGAAAACAAAGACTCCGTTAGAAACTGGCAAAAGGGTTGCTGTCCAGAAAAAGCTATCATGAATAAAAAAAAAAAAAGTCACTTTGTTCACATTCAGTGATCACAGACAAGTGGTAAGGTTTTATGAAATAATTGTAGATAGCTACTAAAGGTAACTGAGAATGTGAGTGAGATAAACAAGCAAGCATAGAAGAGTGAAGTGAGCGCAGATGCATCAGGAAAACACAAACTTTGTGGATTGAGCCTGTTTTGTACAATATGAAAAAGACTGATGAGACTGTTAAAGATATGGAGACACCTAATGACATTTTACATTACAGTAGATCCAAAAAACTGTTGGCATGTCCACGAATACTGATTGAAACCTGTTGGCACTGTAGTAACAATACAAACAAGGGTATCCTAAATCATTGTACACGTTAGAATTTGTTCAATCGGGGAATTTAGAAAAACACAATTAAAAGTGGAGATATGCTGGAGAGGGCTACTCTTCAGCAGGATGCTTGAGGTACCACACATCCTTCAGGGCACTGTGCAGTGTCACACCACCCATTGATTCATGCATGGAGAGACAGGGACCAGGTGCAGAAACTGAGAGAATAAAACCAGTAGCCTCACTACTGTGTTCCCTTTATAAGTGATTTCTTTCATTAATTAAGGAAAAGATTACATACCTGAGCAAGGTACTAAGGAGCTGCAGGCATCCTCTTGCTCCTCTGCATCATGGGATAGATTGCAGCAGCGCAAACAACCTCCACAGGGCCTCTCCCACGTAGATAGGATGGATAGGCAGAAGTAGGGAGGGAACACCTGCACAGCAGCCCCACAGTCACACACCCTGGCCAGAAAGGCTGAGCTGACCCACAGGAAAGTAATCGGCACCACGTAAAGGGCTGACACGGATTAACTCCCCTCTCCTGGCCCAGAGAAACAAGGTAGGGAAGTCAAGTACCAAACAGTAAGTATGAGTCACAATTTGATCCCTGTTTTTCTCCTGGGGCAGTACAACTTCATGCTCCCCCTTTCTCAGGACTAGCGGTAACTCTACAATCTAGCTCTACATAAATATTATCTAAAGCATGCCTCATTCATCACTGAAATACCCATTGGAAGGTAACAGAGAATGCAGAACAGGCAGGAAAACAGATCAGAATTGGAGCTGGGCGGGAGGGGAAGGGAACTGGAGGAGGGGATGCAGAGACAAAAACGGAGTGGGGCATATGGGAGGCAGAGTTAATAATTACATTAAATGCTAGGGACAGAAGACAGGGTCACTGAGGGTTGTATGAAAAAGTGAAAGGGAGGGGAGAGGAAAATGGTGTTATGTCCTTTCCTTTCACTGGATGACAAGTCATCTCAAATTTTAGTTTGAGGGAACAACCATGCTGTTGTCCCCTTCTCCCGGCACCTACAGATCTGCACCCTCTGGCTCCCAAGGAGCACCGCCCCCTCTCCCACTCTCCCTGGTCCTGTGCAGACTTCAGAAGAGGGAGGAAGCACAGACCTGACCAAGCTGGACAGCTTCTTCCCCTCTTGCAGGTGGCTCTATGAGCAGGGGGGCATTGGAAGTAGCTCTGCCCATCCATTTCCCTGCTGTGATCCTCCCTGAAACCCTTCACAGTGTGAGTGGGGGAAAGAACTGAAGAGAGACAGAAAAGCCAGGCTATGAGTGGGTGGATGTAGCCATAAGAGCCTTTGGCACAGCTAATGTAGGATGGGACAGAGGGCAGCTAGGGAGAAGATCCAATGAAAAGAGCCAACAGGTGAATGAGAATAGAGGGAACAAATTACACAGGGGCTTTTGGCCCTGAATGGGAGGGGCAATGTAAGGGCAGGGAATACTGGGGATGGGGATCAGGAGAACAGAGAACCTGGGAAGGGCTTCCAATGTTGGGGAAAGTGAAGTGCTGGGAAAAGAGGTTTTCTGCATGGGAGGCGATTGAAGTAGAAGGGGAAAGAGAAGGAAAAGTGCAAATGTTAAACTGAGGGAGGAAACTGAATGGCAAAGGGATAGTTTCTTGAAAGAAACAAAAGCTGGAAAAAGTTAGAAAAGTCTGAAAGAAAAAAGTGACATTAAAAAAAGAAAAATGAGAGTGGAAACAGATATTTTAAAAGAAACCAAGAAAAGTTTCCCTTAGATAAAGAGCAGATGAGAAGAAAACATGGAGAATAAGAAGGAAGCCACACAGAGAGTTAACTTTTTTTTATCTGAAGGTCATACAGATTTGCCCTGATGTTATATTCACTTTCTGCCAGCTTTGCAGCAGACACGGGCAAAGGGGTAACTGGGTGAAACGGAATGGCCTGTGTCATACGGGAGATCAGACTAGATGATCTAATGGTCTCTTCTGGCCTTAAACTCTATGAATCTATGAAAAGTCCATTGAGTTTAAGCTTAACATAAACATTTTACATTCATATTTGCAATTCTGAATTGGTCGTTGTTAGTTTTATAAGTCAAAAGGCAGTAATGATGGCATTTGTGGTATGTAGCGAACCAGCAAAGTGTGCTTTTTACATACACCCAATGATCTATTAGCTGCATGCTTAACTTCACCCATTTGAGTTCTCTCATTGACTTCCGTAGAGCTACTCAGGAGCTTTAAGTTCTTTGCTGAACTGGAATAAATAGAATTGGGACAATTCATGAATGGAAAAAGGAAGTGAAATTCAAATGTTCTTCATTATGGATGAGTTACTCAGCTCTGGATCAGATGCCTGATGTAGACCGTTAAGTCTTAGACTAGTGGTGGGCAACCTGCAGCCTGTGGGCCGCATGCAGCCTGTCAGGGTAACCCGCTCGTGGGCCGCAAAACAGTTTGTTTACACTGACCATCCTTAGGCACAGCCGCCCACAGCTCCCAGTGGCTGCAGTTCACCATTCCCGGCCACTGGGAGCTGCGGGTGGCTGTACCTGCAGACGGTCAATGTAAACAAACTGTCTTGCGGCCCTCCAGTGGATTACCCTGACGGGCCGCAAGTTGCCCACCACTGTCTTAGACTGTCTACAAGATTTAAGTCTTTGGATTCTTCTGCTGAGTTTTTGACTCATTCACTTACACCAAGGTTAAATATGGTCCAATATACTACCACTTTCTAATACATTTGATTTTCCTTCAAATATATTAGAATTTAGGTATTATAAATAAAAATATTGGAAATTAAATATCCGAGAGAAAGTATATTCTTCCATATATTTGCACTTTGAGTATGGTACATTTTATCACACAAATTCATATATATTTATATCATGTATAATCTTTTCTTCTGATAAAAACTGTTTCTGAAGCAGAGGCATGTTAAAGAATCATTGAAGGGTTAACTGAACATTGAATCTCACAGTGGTATTTTCTGTTTCATTCCTGTCTCTTTACTTAACTTTGGGCTTGTCTACACTTACTGCGGATCCATGCTGTAGCGATCGATCCACCAGGGGTCGATTTAGCAGGTCTAGTGAAAACCCACTAAATAGACAAAAAGAAAAGGAGTACTTGTGGCACCTTAGAGACTAACCAATTTATTTGAGCATGAGCTTTCGTGAGCTACAGCTCACTTCATCAGACCGTAGCTCACGAAAGCTCATGCTCAAATAAATTGGTTAGTCTCTAAGGTGCCACAAGTACTCTTTTTCTTTTTGCGAATACAGACTAACACGGCTGTTCCTCTGCACCTGTCACTAAATAGACAGTTGATCACTCGCCCGTCAACTCTGATACTCCACTGGAATGAGAAGCATAAGATAAGTCGACATGAGAGTTTCTCCTGTTGAACGAGCGCGGTGTAGACACAGCAATAAGTTGACCTAAGGTACATCAACTCCAGCTACGTTATTCACATAGCTGGAGTTGCATAACTTAGGTTGACTTAACCCCGCAGTGTAAACCTGCCCTTTGAGCTCTGCATTTGTCAGATAGAAACCAGAGAGATATTGATTTAATTGCTGATTATAATCCTGACATCATACGCTTTCAGCAATATTATTAGGTAGTTTTAAGGAAAGGAGATACTAAGGGTATGTCTACACAGCTCCTGGGTCAACAGATTCACGCTCACAGGCTTTGGGCTAGTGCACTAAAAATAGTTGTGTAGACATTCCTTTGATGTTCCGGCTTGGGCTGTGGAAACTCCCTCCCCCTCCCCAAAGCTTCAGAGCCTGAGCTGCAATGTCCGCATTGGTATTTTTTAGCATACTAGCACAAGTCTGTTGACCCTGGCTGCAAGATTCGCTCCCAGCAGCTGTGTAGACATACCCAAAGGGGCAAATTTAGATGCATGTGCCCAGTCCTCATTGACTGAAAAGAAAAACATGCATCCAAGGACAGAATTTATCCCCAAATTTGAAGTTCTAGTTTTAAAGTAGTAAACTTATTCCATAAGCATTGCATTTATATGAATTTTATGAGTCCAGTTCTTCTCTCAGTTAAATGTATTGGACTGAATTTAACTGGGGTATTAAGCACCTTTTGGCATTGGCTTAGACACTCAACTCAGTAAATGATACAGGGCAAACATTTATCGACTTCATCTCCAGACATTTTGCTTAAAATATACAAAATTAATGAGAGGGAACATTTTTATTCAGAGCCACGATCCACTTCCTTCCAGTAGGAGGGAAACAAAACTGGAATGTGATTGATATCCTTCTGACTCATTGGTCTTTGTGACTGACTTAGAGAGCTCTGGAAATCAGACAAGAAACAGCAGAATACAACAGTATATGTCTAACCATTTTGTGTTTTCAGTGTGGAAACATGCTTGGTAAAATCTAAAGATACAAGCCCCGATTCTCCTTTTATTGACACAAATGTAAACTAAGTAATTCTATTGCTGTCTATTGATTCATTTGCATGAGCTAGTAAAAACTAAACCGATGATTCAGCTAAGTAACATTAGATTACCTCCTAGCTATACCCAAGCAGGATAAGATTTCACACACTGTATTCAGGCTAAACCTTCCATTGACTTCAATGCGGGTTTTTAGCTAGTATGAGGAGTAAGGGATTGGGCCCAGTAGGTAGTCTGAACTCCTTAATATGATGCTCAAACCTCACATTTGGACACATATCACAAAGGTGAGTGGAGCAGGCATTAATCTGTCAGTATGAGATTGTTTGTGTCATTTTGATATCCTATTAAGGAATGCATGTTTGATTATTGGGCTCCCTGTGTTTTCTAAAACTAGTGTGTATCCAGTTCATTCTTGGAGTAAAGTGAGTGGGTTTACACCATGGATGAGTACAATCCTGTTTTCTTTTCTTTCTTTTTTTTTTTTTTTGAAAGCTGGCTAAAAGAAAATGAATGAAGTTCCGTAAGTAGAGCTCAATCCTGTTCCCATTGGAATCAATGGCAAGACCTCCACTGACTACATGGATGGGGGGCAGGATTGGGATCATAGTTTGACCCTTCAGCCTGATGATGCAGCGCTGTTCATTGGAAACACAGAAAGAGCAAACTCTTTTTTTCTTGCTTTCAGACCTTTTGCACAGTTAACTTTAAGGGGAAATAATTATAAAAGGGCTACATGTTTACTTTTAAACACAGCATTTTTCCACTCTGCCCCAAGTCTGACATTTTAATGACCTGCAGTGCCTTGGGTTTTACTGGCAGCATACACTGAAGGGGTATTTTATGTACAATTTAATATTTGCACAACACTCCTCCATGTTTTGTCGCTCTTTTATGCTGTGCAAAATGTCTTTTAAGTTATTATTTCTTTTAATTACTTACTAATTTGAAGGCATTTTGCAATCATCTTAAAATGCTGTTATGTTTACCATTGCTAAGCTTTTTTAATTTAAGAAGAGCAAGCAAAGTAAAGACTGCATGTATTTTCACTCAAATTACTATCCTAAATGACTCCATGGGGGGTTTCTTATAGGGGTCACTGAAAGGCAGAATGGAATGTTTTTACTTCTTCGCTTTGTCACAGAAATTAGGTTACAAGGGCTATAAATGCAGGTAATACTTTTTATTGCTAGAT